TTCTTCTTTTTAGTAGTAATATTTACCTTCTACATTATGGTTATAAAACATTTCTTCATTGACTACTTCAGTTCGGAAGAATGTTTCATTGCACTTTTATATCATAGTTTCACGCATAGAAAGAATAACCTCATACTTAAAAAATACTCTTGAATTAATATTTAAATTATAGTTTCAACGAGGATCTTTTACAAGTTCAAACTATTCAGAAAAAAATAAAGTTAAGACCTAAACTTGCTTTAAATCTTGGACAGCCATCTGACTAAAACATTTGATTTTAATTGTGAAACAAATAAATCTCAGTATCTCTTCCATAATTTTTACGCATCATCTTTACTAGTCTTTACCAAAAAAATTGTCACTTTACCATAGTTCACAATTACGAAATTCGTCACCAATAACCTTCGTGTTGCTTTTTGTAGTATGACGTTAAAAAACATTCCTTCACTGCTAAAAATATTAAAATTTATTTACTTACATTGAAATAGCCAGCATGAAATTTTAATTAATAAAGGTATATGTAGTCGTATTCATAAATTATTGAATTTTTAAAATAAATTTCATTAAATATCCTTTAAAATTCGTATCAGATATAGATATAACCGTTAAAAAGAATCGAACGCAGTATTGTTTTAAAGAATGTAATTTTTGAAATGTGATTTCTTAATAAAAATAATAAATAAAAATTTTGGAAAATAAAATTGCATATTCTATTTTTTCTAACTTAGGAATTTCTCTTTTTCGTTTCACGAAGAAAATATGCTTTTCACTTTCCCTCGAACATTCATGATAGAAAGGAAAGCAACATTTACAGCTTTGCTACAATTCGTAACATTTTAAATATATTTAATTTACTCTTTTTAAATTTGATTTTTTTAAGCAAATTAAATTGATTCTAATAATTGAAGAATGTAGACTCAGAAATAATATGTCATTGTTAATCTAAAATTATTAGTTGTTCAACGAGATCTAGTTAAACTATAGAAATAAAGTTAAGACCTAAACTTGCTTTAAATCTTGGACAGCCATCTGACTAAAACATTTGATTTTAATTGTGAAACAAATAAATCTCAGTATCTCTTCCATAATTTTTACGCATCATCTTTACTAGTCTTTACCAAAAAAATTGTCACTTTACATAGTTCACAATTACGAAGTTCGTCACCAATAACCTTCGTGTTGCTTTTTGTAGTATGACGTTAAAAAAACATTCCTTCACTGCTAAAAATATTAAAATTTATTTACTTACATTGAAATAGCCAGCATGAAATTTTAATTAATAAAGGTATATGTAGTCGTATCATAAATTATGAATTTTAAAATAAATTTCATTAAATATCCTTTAAAATTCGTATCAGATATAGATATAACCGTTAAAAAGAATCGAACGCAGTATTGTTTTAAAGAATGTAATTTTTGAAATGTATTTCTTAATAAAAATAATAAATAAAAATTTTGGAAAATAAAATTGCATATTCTATTTTTTCTAACTTAGGAATTTGCACAATATTTTAAACATATACAAAAGAAACAACAAAAATGTAAAAAAAATTAAATGATTCTAAATAAATTGAAGAATGTAGAAACTCAAAGAAGCAGGTAATAATTGTTTCAAATTGTTGACACTCTACAACATATTCTATTTTAGTTTCAAAGTCCTTCAACAGATGGCGCATCTAGTTACACTTATATTTTCATTAGCAAAAAACATGAGCAATGATTTTCAACATTAATATTTTGCAAAAATGTTTTAAGCCAAACGATAATTTTTTATAAGTGATAAAAAAAATGGTGTGAAATTGAAAAAAAAAGTTCCATTTTAGAGTAAAAGAGAAAATATTCAATAAAGTTTTTACACACACCAAGCAGGATTACATATAATTTCCTCTTTAAACCACACATTAATTGTTCGACGTAGAATAAGTTTTTTTTTTCTGATGAACAAAACGATTAAACAAATTAAGTCATGTAGAGAAAATAATGCAGTTAAATTTTGCAAGCATTTCTATGAAATATTAGGGGGAAATATGTAAATTTTTTTAAAGTTTTGAAAACGTAATAAATTAATAATATTAAAAGGAAATAAAACTAAAAACTCCATGAAAAAGCTTTTCTTTCTTAAAATTTGATCAAGAGACCTTATTAGTAAGCAAAAATAAATATAAGATGAAACCAGTCAAGCAGAAATTTCAATCATGCGAGACTAAACATTGCATTCAAAGAAAATATGATTTATTTAAACCAGTTTCAATTAATGATTTACTCAATAACATTGCTAAAAATGAAAAAATTGTGAAGCTATGATTTTGCCTGAAAAAAATAATTACTATGCCAAAAAAAATGTGTTCTGCTGTATACTAATGAATAAAAAATAAAAGTGAAAATTATTCTTTTAAATATTACACCAAAAGCTTATTTTTGCATATAATACATAAAATTTTACTATTTAAAACTATTTAAATATAACTTAAAGCATATTTATTCGAATATTTTTATAAAACTTGATATTTTATTTGTTTCATATTTTAGAACTGTATCGCGTGCGTTAGAAAATAAAAAAAATATTTATAACTCGTGATTTCATTCCCTGCCTGTATAAGCGTGTTTGTTATTAATTAAATCACGTTAAAAATGTTGCAATACCATTATTATAATAAGATTAAATAATTTGAAGAACAAAATTATGTATTATTTTTAAGTCATTTTTATTCGTAGCTAATCCTAAAAGAGTTGAATTTTTAGTCATTATCAAACTATTTATCTAAAATAATAAAACCTCAAAAGAAAAATGCAGATAAATCTAGCAAAAAAATTGATTCACACAAGCATATAAATTTTAAAATAACAAATACATTCATAATCTGAAATGCAAACATGTCAACTTTTAAAAAAATAGATGAAATGTAAAGCCCGTTAAATAAACATTTATAAATTTACGAAAAATAAAATATCAGTTTAGCTATTAATCTCAATTCCAGTCTGGAAAGAGTAATAACTATATTCATTTTAATACTTAACGTTTTTTTGGTATTTCATTTTAAAAAATTAGAATTTAAAAATTTAGTTCAATTTTATGATTCATTCACCGTTCTCTATTCTAAGAAAATTCAGTTCTTTTCCGTTTCGCAGGCGCAAATCTCGCCAAGTTGGCGTTATTGACAACAACAAACAAAATAAACAAAACAATATCAATAAATATTAGTTCTCGCGTTGGTTTTTCATCCATTTTTTTATGTATTATGAAAAAGACGTTTTTGATAAGAAAAAATCACGTCTTGTTTTGAAAATGCGGTGGGAAAAGGTTACCAGAAGGAATATTCCGTTTGGCTTCGAAAAATGTCATTTTTGTTCACTTTATCGCTGGCTCCGGCGAAACGGAAAAGCACCGATAATTCTTTAAAAGAAAAAAAAATGTCCAATCAACACTCTCAGCTCTCAGCTCCCAATCAGAAAATTTCATCTGTGGTATCATTAAATTTTTAAATATAATAATAGAGCATTTTATTTTCTTCAATTTGTTTTTTTACAAAATTCGAATTGAATATTTCAAATTTATAATAATGAGGGTTTTTTTTTTTTTTTTACTTTTTTATTTAATACTAGAAATTATTAGTTTGATAAGACTAAAATTTCTTTTTATAAATTATTTCCATAATAAACTGTTATTTCAAACTTTTTTATTAATTATTACAGAATATGGGTACTGATACGAGATTTATTTTTTGTATAACACTACAAAACGTTAAAACACGCTTCAAATCGGAACTAATTTTTCGAATATTGATTTTTAAATTTTTCGCGGTCGGGCATATAATTTCATTTAACGATCTTGCAAATTGAAAATACATTTTTTTTTCTTCTTAAATTTATCATTTCAATATTTTCAAAAAATGGATTATAGCTATAGTTCGTATTCTAGATTAACCATTCCGAAAATTTAATCTCGATATTCTTCTAAGTCTCGAGAAATTTAAAATGACTCTTTTATCAAGAATATGTATGATTCAATACATAACAGCAAGCAATTAGATGGATGTAGCTCACCTGATGGATCTGAATTATTTCATACTATTCGTTAGAACAAAAAAACATAAGGTACTTTGTGATTATCAACTTCGCACTACAAAGCAACACTAGGGATATTGCGACGGATCTTGTAGTTTTGAACCTCGGCAAAGTGGCAAGGATGGCCTCTAAGTTGGCACCGCTCTCAAAATACCATTCCACACAATGGGATGACTTAGGACCTCTACAGAATTAAATTGCATCCACACAACGGGTTTTCAGTAGCTCTAGGTTTTGATCCTGGACCACTACAACACCGGCCACGCGCTCACTATCATAATCACTAGGCTAGCGCCAACATACTTTGTCAAAGATCAATATACAACAGGGGTGGACAAAAAGTGGACACTAAAGAGTTTTATTTGTTTCCCATTATGACTGTCAGTATATAAACCAAATAGAAAAGAAAATGTTCTCTATATTTGAGTAAACATAAGCAAAGTTTTCTTGCAAGAAGATCAACAAAATAAATATGGATGCAAGTTGGCTGACATTAACTTGCAGTCAGTGGTGAGAATTTAAAATCTTATTAAATTGGAGAGTGTGAGGGTATCGATCTCCGTTACTCTCGCATTTTATTAATGTGTTTATGGATACAGATATGAAACTAGCACAGTAAATAAATTAATAAAACTGCCCCCGTGATCAGCACCTTGATTTAGTGTAAACATTCTCGCCTTAACACCTGGACAAGATCTTAACAGTGATTAACCGTTGTGGAGAATCTGAAATGGAGTGAATTAGATGCCATAGAATATGTCAAAGCAAAGAGAAGTAGTTTGATGCTTCTCTCTTGATTCTTAGTGTTCACTCTGGAACAGTAAAAATAAAACGTACTTCGTCAAAGATACGAATACAGAGTTAAAGCATTGTAAAATATTTCGTTGTGCAAATCAAACGAATTTCAAGTACATTTTACAAGAAAAAACATTAATTGGAGGCGCGGGTATCGAGCCCCGTACCTTTCGCATGCTAAGCGAGAGATCTACCATCTGAGATACGCCCCCGGACAGCACCTTGATTAGTGTAAACATTCTCGCCTTAACACCTGAACAAGATCTTACAGTGATTAACCGTTGTGGGAGAATCTGAAATGGAGTGAATAAATGCATAGAATATGTCAAAGCAAAGAGAAGTAGTTTGATGCTTCTCTCTTGATTCTTAGTGTTCACTCTGGAACAGTAAAAATAAAACGTACTTCGTCAAAGATACGAATACAGAGTTAAAGCATTGTAAAATATTTCGTTGTACAAATCAAACGAATTTCAAGTACATTTTACAAGAAAAAACATTAATTGGAGGCGCGGGTATCGATCCCCGTACCTCTCGCATGCTAAGCGAGCGCTCTACCATCTGAGATACGCCCCGGACAGCACCTTGATTAGTGTAAACATTCTCGCCTTAACACCTGAACAAGATCTTACAGTGATTAACCGTTGTGGGAGAATCTGAAATGGAGTGAATAGATGCCATAGAATATGTCAAAGCAAAGAGAAGTAGTTTGATGCTTCTCTCTTGATTCTTAGTGTTCACTCTGGAACAGTAAAAATAAAACGTACTTCGTCAAAGATACGAATACAGAGTTAAAGCATTGTAAAATATTTCGTTGTACAAATCAAACGAATTTCAAGTACATTTTACAAGAAAAAACATTAATTGGAGGCGCGGGGTATCGATCCCGTACCTCTCGCATGCTAAGCGAGCGCTCTACCATCTGAGCTACGCCCCCGGACAGCACCTTGATTAGTGTAAACATTCTCGCCTTAACACCTGAACAAGATCTTACAGTGATTAACCGTTGTGGGAGAATCTGAAATGGAGTGAATAGATGCCATAGAATATGTCAAAGCAAAGAGAAGTAGTTTGATGCTTCTCTCTTGATTCTTAGTGTTCACTCTGGAACAGTAAAAATAAAACGTACTTCGTCAAAGATACGAATACAGAGTTAAAGCATTGTAAAATATTTCGTTGTACAAAACAAACGAATTTCAAGTACATTTTACAAGAAAAAACATTAATTGGAGGCGCGGGGTATCGATCCCCGTACCTCTCGCATGCTAAGCGAGCGCTCTACCATCTGAGCTACGCCCCCGGACAGCACCTTGATTAGTGTAAACATTCTCGCCTTAACACCTGAACAAGATCTTACAGTGATTAACCGTTGTGGGAGAATCTGAAATGGAGTGAATAAATGCCATAGAATATGTCAAAGCAAAGAGAAGTAGTTTGATGCTTCTCTCTTGATTCTTAGTGTTCACTCTGGAACAGTAAAAATAAAACGTACTTCGTCAAAGATACGAATACAGAGTTAAAGCATTGTAAAATATTTCGTTGTACAAATCAAACGAATTTCAAGTACATTTTACAAGAAAAAACATTAATTGGAGGCGCGGGGTATCGATCCCCGTACCTCTCGCATGCTAAGCGAGCGCTCTACCATCTGAGCTACGCCCCCGGACAGCACCTTGATTAGTGTAAACATTCTCGCCTTAACACCTGAACAAGATCTTACAGTGATTAACCGTTGTGGGAGAATCTGAAATGGAGTGAATAAATGCCATAGAATATGTCAAAGCAAAGAGAAGTAGTTTGATGCTTCTCTCTTGATTCTTAGTGTTCACTCTGGAACAGTAAAAATAAAACGTACTTCGTCAAAGATACGAATACAGAGTTAAAGCATTGTAAAATATTTCGTTGTACAAAACAAACGAATTTCAAGTACATTTTACAAGAAAAAACATTAATTGGAGGCGCGGGGTATCGATCCCCGTACCTCTCGCATGCTAAGCGAGCGCTCTACCATCTGAGCTACGCCCCCGGACAGCACCTTGATTAGTGTAAACATTCTCGCCTTAACACCTGAACAAGATCTTACAGTGATTAACCGTTGTGGGAGAATCTGAAATGGAGTGAATAGATGCCATAGAATATGTCAAAGCAAAGAGAAGTAGTTTGATGCTTCTCTCTTGATTCTTAGTGTTCACTCTGGAACAGTAAAAATAAAACGTACTTCGTCAAAGATACGAATACAGAGTTAAAGCATTGTAAAATATTTCGTTGTACAAATCAAACGAATTTCAAGTACATTTTACAAGAAAAAACATTAATTGGAGGCGCGGGGTATCGATCCCCGTACCTCTCGCATGCTAAGCGAGCGCTCTACCATCTGAGCTACGCCCCCGGACAGCACCTTGATTAGTGTAAACATTCTCGCCTTAACACCTGAACAAGATCTTACAGTGATTAACCGTTGTGGGAGAATCTGAAATGGAGTGAATAGATGCCATAGAATATGTCAAAGCAAAGAGAAGTAGTTTGATGCTTCTCTCTTGATTCTTAGTGTTCACTCTGGAACAGTAAAAATAAAACGTACTTCGTCAAAGATACGAATACAGAGTTAAAGCATTGTAAAATATTTCGTTGTACAAATCAAACGAATTTCAAGTACATTTTACAAGAAAAAACATTAATTGGAGGCGCGGGGTATCGATCCCCGTACCTCTCGCATGCTAAGCGAGCGCTCTACCATCTGAGCTACGCCCCCGGATAGCACCTTGATTAGTGTAAACATTCTCGCCTTAACACCTGAACAAGATCTTACAGTGATTAACCGTTGTGGGAGAATCTGAAATGGAGTGAATAGATGCCATAGAATATGTCAAAGCAAAGAGAAGTAGTTTGATGCTTCTCTCTTGATTCTTAGTGTTCACTCTGGAACAGTAAAAATAAAACGTACTTCGTCAAAGATACGAATACAGAGTTAAAGCATTGTAAAATATTTCGTTGTACAAATCAAACGAATTTCAAATACATTTTACAAGAAAAAACATTAATTGGAGGCGCGGGGTATCGATCCCCGTACCTCTCGCATGCTAAGCGAGCGCTCTACCATCTGAGCTACGCCCCCGGACAGCACCTTGATTAGTGTAAACATTCTCGCCTTAACACCTGAACAAATCTTACAGTGATTAACCGTTGTGGAGAATCTGAAATGAGTGAATAGATGCCATAGAATATGTCAAAGCAAAGAGAAGGAGTTTGATGCTTCTCTCTTGATTCTTAGTGTTCACTCTGGAACAGTAAAAATAAAACGTACTTCGTCAAAGATACGAATACAGAGTTAAAGCATTGTAAAATATTTCGTTGTACAAACAAACGAATTTCAAGTACATTTTACAAGAAAAAACATTAATTGGAGGCGCGGGGTATCGATCCCCGTACCTCTCGCATGCTAAGCGAGCGCTCTACCATCTGAGCTACGCCCCCGGACAGCACCTTGATTAGTGTAAACATTCTCGCCTTAACACCTGAACAAGATCTTACAGTGATTAACCGTTGTGGGAGAATCTGAAATGGAGTGAATAGATCCCATAGAATATGTCAAAGCAAAGAGAAGTAGTTTGATGCTTCTCTCTTGATTCTTAGTGTTCACTCTGGAACAGTAAAAATAAAACGTACTTCGTCAAAGATACGAATACAGAGTTAAAGCATTGTAAAATATTTCGTTGTACAAATCAAACGAATTTCAAATATATTTTACAAGAAAAAACATTAATTGGAGGCGCGGGGTATCGATCCCCGTACCTCTCGCATGCTAAGCGAGCGCTCTACCATCTGAGCTACGCCCCCGGACAGCACCTTGATTAGTGTAAACATTCTCGCCTTAACACCTGAACAAGATCGTACATAACTAGGTCAATTAAATGTGTCGCGAGAGAATAGAATCGAGTGCTATAACTGCGGCCCCGAAGATAACTTTGATTATTACAAACAAGCTTGCCCCTTAACAGAATATTAAATTTTTTTTGAAGTCTGATACTTTTCTACAATTAAATTTCTATATGCTGTTCAATTTCAAGTCCTTAAATATTATGTGTCCCAAATATGGTTTTCCTAATTATTCAACGAATTAAACTATAAAATGAATACTTTTAAAGAGTCTTCTCATCTAATATCGTTTTTCAATGACTCAGTGATAAGCAAGGAAATATTTTTTGTTTCAATTAATTTCAAACGGCTACAAATGTCTGAAATTAATCTTCATTTTGCTATTTCTCTGTCAAACTTTTAGTCTCAATTTTTACTAATATTTTCTTCATTTTAAATAATCATACTTTATTAAATTTATTTTAGATCACAATGCTTTGATGTATTTTAATTTTAATTGCTATAAATATTTTCAAATGTATGTTTTTAATTAATATAAAGTCTTCTTTACTCGGTAAATACAACTTCTTCATACGATCTATGCAAAATGCGTCCATTCACTTCTACTCCCATAAAAAAATGTGTCTACGGCAGCCTAGGGGCCACGATAGCCTAGTGGTCAATGTATCGGATCGAGGCTGACATGTCATGAGTTTGAGCCCTGTTCCACGTTAAATCTGTTGAGAGCTCAAACGCCCTCCCGTTGGTGTGGTGTGGTAGTTAGGAGAGGGTTGGGCGATCTCAGGTGTCATCCTCGTCACTCGACCATGGTTCAAAATTACGCGCTCCGTAGCCAAAAAGCCCTCGTGTATAGCTGAACAATGCGACGTAAATATTCACTCACCCACGGTAGCCTAGTGGTCATGGTTACGATCTCATGGCCGGCGTGTTATGAGTTTGGCACTGTTATGAGTCGTGTTATGAATCCTAGTAGTACTGAAGACCCACCGTGTAGAGGGGCAGGTGCCCATTAAATCTGCAATGACTCAAAGTCCTCTGATAGGCGTGGCGTGGTGTGGTAGTTTGGAGAGGAGCATGTCACCTCGGGTGTCTTCCTAGTTACTTAACTGAGGCTCAAAATTACGAGGTCCATCGCCAGTAGTGCTGATGTTGCTTTATAAGCTACCTAAATAAACACACTCACCAATAAAAAAGTTCATTTTTGCTGTTTACATTTAAAAATTAGAGTTATTTCAGGTTGTACTTTTACAGAATGTGTGTGTGTGTGTGTGTGTGTGTGTGTGTGTGTGTGTGTTGTGTGTGTGTGTGTGTGTGTGTGTGTGTGTGTGTGTGTGTGTGT